TTCTTTATGCTTGTGGGTAAACAGTATTTCTTGCTGTTTCTTTGTCAGTGTTGATGTGGAGAGTGTCTGGTTTGCCTACTCTGGAATATGTAACATATCATTGTCCTTCTTTAAGGGTCCCTTTCAAATCTATGATACGATATCTGTGTGTGTGTGTGTGTGAATTATATCTATCTATATCTATGGCTGGCTGGCTCTTTGTCAGGAGGGCTTTGATTAAGTTTTCTTACCCTGGTGAAGGGAGTTGGATTGAACGGCTTTAAGTGTTTTCTGTTGGTCATGGGGGTTCAGTGTGGGAAGTTGTTTGTGGGGTTTTGAATGCTCTTTGATTGTAGGTGAACTGTGAATCCCAGTGACTACAACTCCCAAATGTTAAGGTCTATTTCCCCCCAAACTCCATCTGTGTTCATATTTGGGTGTATTGAGTGCTTGTGCCAAGTTTGGTCCAGAAGGGAGTTTGTTTGAGTCCACAGTGCTCTCTGGATGTAGGTGAACTACAACTTCAAAACTCAAGGTCAATGCCCACCAAACCTTCCAGTATTTTCTGTTGGTCATGGGAGTTCTGTGTGCCAAGTTTGGTTCAATTCCATCATTGGTGGAGTTCAGAATGCTCTTTGATTGTAGGTGAACTATAAATCCCAGCAACTACAACTCCCAAATGACAAAATCATAATTTTTTGAGTGATGGATCACTCCTTGTGTTGTGAGACGTTTTGTTGCCAAATTTGGTGTGATTTCGTTCATTGGTTCTTTTGTTTTTAAGGTACTCATTATGCACAGAGCATTTTTATATATATAGATTATCTTTCATGTAATTTATACTCTGCCTTTCTGTTAGCATGGAGAACTGAACCAAATTGAAAGCAATGCACTGGGTATACTGGTTCACAATTTTCTGGTCTATTAGTAGTTTATACACAACTGTTATGCTTGGAAACAGTGGTTGTACTTTTTATGTCCCTTCTGATTTGGGAAGACAATGTTTTCCATGTTCTTGTTGCTTTAGACAAGCTGGTAACACAGAGAAAAATATTATTGGAATATGTCATTTGCTTTTCTACCTGAGGTGTTAGGTACACATTGGATCTCCACCTGCATGCACTTCACAAGTTGATTTCACGTGGCTAGCTCCAGCTTGCTAATATGTGTTGCTAATATGCGCTGCCCTTTCCAAAGATCATTTTGGACTTGTAGGCACTTGACCAGAGCAAATGGAGTCAGTTAATTATTCCGCGCCCCCGCTCAGCAAGCTTTCAACTTGGCAAACACAATCTTTTTCGTAATTTTTAAATGACACTTGTGTTTGCACCAGAGCTTTAAAGTAAGTACGCTCTGTGTTCGCAAAGTCTTGTTGAAAGAGAAATAGAGATTGCAGTGAGAAGATGTGGTTATCGGTTGGAAATGGGTTGAAAAATGTTGAAAAATTAGGATCAATCAAATGCGGTGTCCCAAAAGTCTCCATACAGAAGAAAATTAACCAAGTCATATATTATTATATTATATTATATTGTAAGGAGTCACGGTTGTGCAGCGGGTTAAACTGCTAAGCTGCAGAACTTGCTGATCGGAAGGTCAGTGGTTCAAATTTGTGGACAGGGTGAGCTCCTGTTGTAGGCCCCAGCTTCTGCTAACCATCATTGTTTGAGTCCACAGTGCTCCCTGGATGTAGATGAACTACAACTCACAAACTCAAGGTCAATGCCCACCAAACTCTTCCAGTATTTTCTGTTGGTCATGGGAGTCCTGTGTGCCAAGTTTGGTTCAATTTCATCATTGGTGGAGTTCAGAATGCTCTTTGATTATAGGTGAACTATAAATCCCAGAAACTCCAACTCCCAAATGACAAAATTATAATTTTTGAGTGATGGTCACTCCTTGTGTTGTGAGACGTTTTGTTGCCAAATTTGGTGTGATTTCATTCATTGGTTCTTTTGTTTTTAAGGTACTCATTATGCACAGAGCATATATATTATATTATATTATATTATATTATATTATATTATATTATATTATATTATATTGTAAGGAGTCACAGTTGTGCAGTGGGTTAAACTGCTAAGCTGCAGAGCTTGCTGATCGGAAGGTCAGTGGATCGAATTTGTGGACAGGGTGAGCTCCTGTTGTAGGCCCCAGCTTCTGCCAACCTAGCAGTTCGAAAACATGCAAATGTTAGTACATCAGTAGGTACTGCTTCTGCAGGAAGGTAACTGTGCTCCATGCAACCATGCTGGCCACATGACCTAGGGGTGTCTATGGAAAATGCCAGCTCATCAGCTTAGAAATAGTGATGAGCACCACCTTTCAGAGTCGGACATGACTAGGCTTAATATCAAGGGGGAACCTTTACTATTTATCATATACTAGCCATCCCCTGCCACGAGTTGCTGTGGCCCATATGGGGGTTCTGTATGGGCGTTTTGGCCCAATTCTATCGTTGGTGGTGTTCAGAATACTCTGATTGTAGGTGAACTATAAATCCCAGTAAATACAACTCCATAATGTCTTGGACCATTTCCCCTAAACTCATCTGTATTCATATTTGGGCATATGGAATATTTGTGCCAAGTGTGGTCCAGATAATCATTGTTTGAGTCCACAGTGCTCTCTGGATGTAGGTGAACTACAATTCCCAAACTCAAGGTCAATGCCCACCAAACTTTTCCAGTATTTTCTGTTGGTCATGGGAGTCCTGTGTGCCAAGTTTGGTTCAATTCCATCATTGGTGGAGTTCAGAATGCTCTTTGATTATAGGTGAACTATAAATCCCAGCAACTACAACTCCCAAATGACAAAATCACAATTTTTGGAGTGATGGTCACTCCTTGTGTTGTGAGACATTTTGTTGCCAAATTTGGTGTGATTTCATTCATTGGTTCTTTTGTTTTTAAGGTACTCATTGCGCACAGAGCATTTATATATATATAGATTACATTGTACAAAATAAATTCTTGGTATATTTGTTTTTCGGCTTGTTCCTTGGGTTATTTAGGGTACTGATTAAGACAATTGCATTGGATACACCGCTTCAGCTGTAGTTTCTTAGATAGGGTTATCATGACTTTCTATGGGTGAGCAGATGGTGACTAGTAGGTGGCATATGTTCTGTTTCTCAAATACTAGAGCTGATAAGGGGAAAGCGGTGCCGTTTTTGGAATCAGCCGGTCAAATGTACTCAAAAACAGGACTAACATTTGAGGCACCAAAATGTGTGTTGGCCAGTGTTTCTATATTATACTAGCTCTACCCGACATGCGTTGCTGTGGCCAACCTTCCCTCCCTCCTTTTCTCCTTCTTCCTTTCTCTCTTTCCTTCCCTCCCTCTTTCCTTCCTTCCCTCTTTTTCCTTCTCTTCTTCTTTCTTTTCTACTTGTTTCTTTCCTCGCTTTCTTTGCTCTTTGGTTCCATCCTTCCTTCCCCTTTTCCTTCCTTCCTTCCTTCCTTCCTTCCTTCCTTCCTTCCTTCCTTCCTTCCTTCCCTCCCTCCCTCCCTCCCTCCCTCCCTCCCTCTCTCTCTTTCATTCCTTCTCTCCTTCCTTCCCTCTCACTTTCCTTCCTTCTTTCACTTTTTATTTCCTTCTCTTTCTTTCCTCTCCTTCCCTCCTTCTTTCCCTCTTTCTCTCTTTCCTTCCTTCCCCCTTTCTGTGTATATGTGTTTTGTGTGTGCATATGTGTGTATATATTTCTGTATATATTTGTGTATATGTGTATATATGTGTGTTTGTATATATATGTGGTTTTGCGCATGAGTTGTAATGTATTTTTTGTTTTTTTGGCTTTTTAAGTCCCTTCTGCTGTGTTTTCCAGTGTTGTTCTGTGTGACGGTCACTCATTGGCCTGAAAGTTGTCTTGTGTTCAAATTTGGTGTCGGGCATATTGAGTATTCCTGTCAAGTTTGGTCCAGATCCATCATTGTTTGAGTCCACAGTGTTCTCTGAATGGAGGTGAACTACAATTCCAAAACTGAAGGTCAATGCCCACCAAACACTTTCAGTATTTTCTGTTGGTCATGGGAGTTCTGTGTACCAACTTTGTTTCAATTCCATTGTTGGTGGAGTTCAGAATGCTCTTTGATTATAGATGAACTATAAATCCCAGCAACTACAACTCCCAAATGACAAAATCATAATTTTTTGAGTGATGGTCACTCCTTGTGTTGTGAGACGTTTTGTTGCCAAATTTGGTGTGATTTCGTTCATTGGTTCTTTTGTTTTTAAGGTACTCATTATGCACAGAGCATATATATATGAAACAAAATCTGGCTACCACTATTAAAAAACTCTAAAATTGCAACATCACAACAACAGAGAGGAAACAAACAAGGACATCTAGTCACCTCTCAACAAAAGTTTGCTCCAGGCACTGTCAGGCCATTATATGCTAATCAAGGTGGTCAGTTGAAACATTCACACCTAGCTCCAGCAGACAAGAGTCCTTTGTCCCACCCTGGTCATTCCACAGATATATAAACCCTTTTCCCTAGTTCCAACAGACCTCACTACCTCTGAGGATGCTTGCCATAGATGCAGGCGAAACGTCAGGAGAGAATGCCTCTAGACCACGGCCATATAGCCCGAAAAAACCTACAACAACCCAGTGATTCCGGCCATGAAAGTCTTCGACAATACACTGTACGTTGAGATATGAGAAAGGATGTATCTCTAGGAGTCGCAACGTCTCCCACTTTGAATTTATGGTCAACTTCCTGCAGAAATCGATCATTGAGTTGCACTGGTGGATTTGGAGATTCTTAGAGAACATTCAAATCTGCTCATTTTCCTTCCATGCTTCCTTCACAAATTTAGAATTGACCCTTCAAGGATAGAGCCCTAAAGGAGAAAGAAAGCGAGACTTAACATCCATGAATGCTGTTGGATAAACACAACAAGCACCACCATTCAGTTGAATTTGGATGGTGTTTATTGTTCTGGCCAAGGGGAAAGAAAGCCTCATTGATTTACAAGGTTGTGATTTTTTGGGGGGGATATTTTCTGTATTTTTTTAGGTGCTGGCCAATGTTTTTATTTTCCTGTGCGGTAGCTTGATGGGGGCGTTTCATAAGCACCAGATGCAGGATGCTTCGTGGGATTTGTACCGATATACATTGAAATGCATCCAAGTCCAAATGAAACTGAAGATTGAAAAGAGGCAACAAGTAAGTGGATGAGTCTATTTATTTATTTACAGCATTTTTATTTATTTATTTATTTATTTATTTACAGTATTTATATTCTGCCCTTCTCACCCCACAGGGCGGATTGCAACGTACATATACATTGCAAACATTCAGTGCCATAGACACACAACATATATAGACAGATACAGAGGCAGTTTAACATTCCAGCTTTTCTTGTGGGTATTCTGGCCACCAGGGGAGCTGTCCCTTCACCGACCATTTGTGACACTGATGAAGTACTTCCCCATTCTTTGCATGCTTGCTGGAGATTTTTATGGCCTTGTAAATTAGTTAAATTTGCCTCCCTGCATAAGCGGTACCTAACTTTCGTACTTGACAGATGCAACTGTCTTTCGGGATGCAAAGGTCGACAGCAAGCTACACAAAATTGGTCGGAAGCTCACTCCAACCCAGGCTGGCTTCGAACTCATAACCTTTCGGTCAGTAGTGATCTTAATGCAGCTGACTCCAGCCAGCTGCGCCACAGTCCTGGTGCAATATTCTGCCTTTCTCACCATGAAGGGGACTCAAGGTGGATCACAGAACACATACACGGCAAACATTCAGTGCCTTTAAACAGATAACAGATAGAGGTATATGTTGGCATTTTCCCCAACTTCGGCATCCTGGAGGCTGTGCTCGATTCCGGCCACGGGGGGGGGGGTGCTGTCACTCCATCCTCTATGACAGTGGTTCCCAGATGTTTTGGCCTTCATCTCCAAGAAATCCTAACAGCTGGTAAACTGACAGGGATTTCTGGGAGTTGTAGGCCAAAACACCTGGGGACACACAGCTTGAGAACCACTGCTCTATGACAAAGAGCCCTTGATCACAGACTTCCTCCTTTCTTTGATTGCAGGCATTTTCTGATATTTCCTTTTTATGGTGTCGTAAAATACCTCCCCACTTAAGCAGTGCCTAATTTCTTTATTCACAGCTCACAGCTGTTTTCGAGCTGCTTAGGTGGACAGTAAGCTGGGCTAAAGATCGGGTGCTCACCCCAACCTGGGCTTCGACCTGCCAACCTTTCTATTAGTGTGATCTATTGCTGCTGGCGATTAACCAACTGTGCTAAAGCCCGGTCCTTACTTTGATTTTACTTACTTTGGTTATATCCTTTTAATGCTTTAAAAAAAATTAACGAATAAATACGTTTTCAATAAAATTGGAAGGAATGCCATCTTATTCTTTGCACCCATTATTTTAGCTACCTGATTTTTAACCATTTTGAATGATATTCTGAACCCATATATATTCATCACGAAATTTGTTGAAATAAGAGTGATATAATTCAACAGTTTCAAAATACGAGCATATTTGAGATAAAACAAAACCATTAATTAAATCAATTTAAAATACAACCAAAGATTTTAAAAAAGCAAATTATATTCAAAATATGATATAGGGTTCCACATTTCAGCCATTTCCAGTCTTTGACAAAACTTGTTGGATAGTCTGTAAGGACTGTGGCATTGCATAATATACCCATAGCCTAGGAATTAATTCTTTGAAGTTGTATGATCCTTTTATTTATATTACACAGAATCCTCTCCTTTTTCTTAGGAAAGCTTGCTTCTGTCCATACTGCCAGCTCATATTTCCATGGGAATGAAGTTAGCTATCATCGAACGGCTAAAAGAAACCAACGACAGGAAGAAACATGACAACAATTTCCATAGCCTTTATGTCAAAAGGCACCAGAACGTCAGGTGAGCTGTAACTCGTGGTTCCCAAAACTGTTCTTTCTATGGTGCCAATGTTCTAGATGTGCTGTATTTTGCTGTTTTGGTGGATTATTCGGCTTCCTTGTGTTGATTTTGGAAGGATGCTTTGCCTTACATCTTTTCCAAATAAATCCACGAGGAGCCTCCACTTTATGGACTTCCTTGTTTACTTGATTCCATTTTAAGTTGCTTTCAAATGGACTTCAAAGATTTTGTTTTATGTTTCAGTCTGCTTTCATTTTTAGTGCTGACTCAAAATGTCAACACTCTTCCTGCTCTCATTCTGTTTTCTTTGATCTAAATGCAGATATTTTAAATATTAATTTCATAATAATAATAATAATAATAATAATAATAATAATAATAATAATATACTTTATTTATATTTTGCTCCATCTTCCCCCGAGGGAACTCGGGGCGGAGTACAGAACACATATATGGCAAACATTCAATGCCGTTATACAATTAACAAGGACAGACAATACATAAACAGAGACAAAGGCTTTCCCATCTTTTTCCATCTCTGGCATCTGGAGGCTGTGCTCGACTCCGGCCACAGGAGGTGCTGTTGCTCCATCTTTCATGCTGAGGAGCTTTGTTGTCTCTAGATCAGAGGCGGCCCTAGGTAATTTTCAATGGGAAGCAAACAGTATTTTGCCTCCCCCCTCCCCAAACCAATCAATGATATATATATATTTCCTGTTCGTCGTGGGAGTTCTGTGTGCCATATTTGGTTCAATTCCATCATTGGTGGAGTTCAGAATGCTCTTTGATTTTAGGTGAACTATACATATGTAACTACATATGTAACTACAACTCACATATGTCAAGGTCTATTTTCCCTCAAGAGTGCCTCAAGAGCGCCCCTGGGCAAAATCAACTATACTGCAAATGCTTACTTTGCGTAATGGGTTGAGCTGCCCCTGCTCTAGATATCCTCTCAATCATCATCATCATCATCATCATCATCATCATCTTTAATTACTTATTAATCGCCCTCCATCCAAGATGCTCTAGGTGATTTACATGCTAAATTGTAAAATATAGAAATGCATACATACAGAAATTAATGATTAACATAGATCAAATGCTCTAGTGAAAAGCCAGGTCTTAAGTGCTAGAGTAAAAGGCCCTAAATCACACATGGCTCTCATATAGGGAGGCAAGGAATTCCATAAGGCAGGGGCAGAAATAGAAAAAGCCCAACTACATCTGGTTCTGTCTAAGTGCACTTCTCTAGAACCCGGTATATAGAGTAAGTCACATTGGGCTGGTCGTTGTGATGCTGGGAGAAGGAGAGGCGGTCCCTAAGGTACGATGGACCCTGGCCGTAAAGAATTTTAAAGTTCAGAACTAGCATCTTATACAGACCACGGTAATCAGTTGGAAGCCAATGTAAGTGCTGTAGCACTGGTGTTACATGGCATTTCATGGGCGTTCTTGTGAGTAACCTGGCTGCTGCATTCTGAACAATACAGAGCTTTCGTGTCGTAGACATCGGAAGGCCAACATACAAGGCGTTGCAATAGTCTAGCCTAGATGTGACCGTGGCATGGATGACTGTTGCCGAGTCACTGGTTGTTGCACTCCAGAACAGGAATAACCCTCTGACTTTAAACTCCACACATTGAATAGGAAAAAGCAATCCTTTTATTGAGGATAAGTAAAAAGCAGCAAAGTAAAAAGCACTTTGAAGAAATAGGTAAATCCAATTAGAAAAAGAAGCAGAATAGGAGTTGTCCATGTCCTTGCATGGAATGGGTATTATTTTTGGTAATTCTCAGCATGTTTGAAAGAGACAACTCTCTGAATAAAGAAATGAACTGTAAAATTATGTTTTATTGATTTTTATGTCCATGTTTAGCATCCTGTATGCGGACATTGTCGGATTCACACGACTGGCCAGCGACTGCTCTCCCAAAGAGCTGGTGGTCATGTTGAATGAACTTTTTGGAAAATTTGATCAAATTGCAAAAGTGAGTAGCTTCTTTTCTGGCATTTAATTGTCCAAAGAATAAATGTTTATACAGTAGAGTCTCGCTTATCCAGCCTTCACACATCCAACGTTCTGTATTATCCAATGCAGTTTGCCTCCCACCCAGATCCATAGCTGTTTCAATATGTTGCGACGTTTTGGTGTAAAATTCGTAAATACAGTAATTACTAGGCTGGTTTGATTAAAAAGAAAGATTAAAAACTCATTTTGGATGCAGGGGGTGGTGGTGGTTCGATTCTAAAGTCAATTCTGATTTTCACAAAAAATGTTCAAAACATTTTGAAATTTCTGAGACTTCCGAATCCTTCCTTAATGGTTTGAAAGTGTTATTTCCTGTTTCGTTGGGTGGTCTTTACTTTGATAGGGGGGAAGCAAAGGAAGGAAATTCACCCACTCCTGTTTAAAACACTTCCCAGGCTCGAGGCAGAAGTGAGGGGAGAGGAGAGGGAGGAAATTCATCCACTCGGGTTTAAAATGGCTTCCCAGGTTTAAGTCGAGGCCAGGGACCAGAAATGCTGAATCATTTCCGACTCACTTACTGCTTCATAACAGAAATGGCAGAAAAAGCTTCGGAAGGGCAAAGGGACTTCCGGTTTCCTTAAAAACTTTAAAATCGCTTCAAAAAGCAAATCTTTCCAAATTTATTCCGAATTACGAAGATTCCGACCAAACCTAACCATGCCCAGTAATTACTACATAACGTTACCATATATTGAACTGTTTTTTCTGTCGATTTGTTGTAAAACGTGAGGTTTTGGTGCTTAGTTTGTAAAATCATAATGTAATTTGATTTTTTCCTTAATCCCTCTTTATTAACCAACATTTTTGCTTATCCAATGTTTTGCCGGCCCATTTATGTTGGATAAGCGGGACTCTAAATATTTACACAGTAGAGTCTCACTTATCCAGCCTTCATACATCCAACATTCTGTATTATCCAATGCAGTTTGCCTCCCGCCCAGATCCATACCTGTTTCAAAAGTTAAAACCTGGCTTTTTGAGCAAGCATTTGCAAATGCAGTGTAACACTCTAATTTAGATCCATGGAACAACTGAGCGAAGTGACTGGAAAATGATTTTAGTAATGAGGCGCCGAGGACTGTATTTTATTGTTTATATTATATGTTACTGTTTTAATTGTATTTTATGTTGTTGGGGGCATTGAATTATGCCGACTGTAAACCGCCTTGAGTCGCCTTCGGGCTGAGAAAGGCAGTATATAAATACAGTAAAGAAATAAATTATTATTATTATTTTACATAGAATGGAACAACAAAAAATATTGTATACCCACAAGCATTTATTTATTATTTATTTATCGTGTCAGGAGCATACCAAACCAGTTGTGTTGCATTAAAAAACAGACAAACAGACAAACAAAACACAAAATTTGCAGACTTGGTATTCTATTAAATGTCCTTTGACCAGTATCTGGCCACTTGGAGTGCCTCTGGTGTTGCTGCAAGAAGGTCCTCCATTGTGCATGTGGTAGGGCTCAGGTTGCATTGCAGTAGCTGGTCTGTGGTTTGCTCTTCTCCACACTCGCATGTCGTGGATTCCACTTTGTGGCCCAAATTTCTTAAGGTTGGCTCTGCATCTCATGGTTCCAGAGCTTAGTCTGTTCGGCACCTTCCAAGTCGCCCAGTTTTCTGTGTGCCCAGGAGGGAGTCTCTCATTTGGAATCAGCCATTGATTTGAGCCTGCCACTTTTGGACTCTTGCTTGTTGAGGTGTTCCAGCGAGTGTCTCTGTAGATCTTAGAAAACTATTTCTTGATTTAAGTCGTTGGCGTGCTGGCTGATACCCAAACAGCATACCCACAAGCATTATGAAATTACATATATTAAAAACTATCCCTTTCTTTTTCTTCTTTTTCCCCATTTAACCAGACTGTGCCACAGCAACGCATGGCTGGGTACAGCTAGTATAGATATATAATAGGTCTCATGCAATTGTCTATTTAATGATTCATTGGACATTTGAGACTTGGAAGCCGCAAGAAAGGATTCACAGACTGGTTCAGATATCAATCAGATTTTCCGTTCCTGGCTTTGCATGACTATCATGCAACTTTTGCAACTGAAGAATCCTTGCTCAACTGTTCCAAGATTTTCTCCTTTCTGCCCTTGTCTCCACCAGTTCCTTAAAATATGGATGGAAAACTGCTGATTCAGACACACTCAAGATGACTGATGTGTTTGTTCTGCAGGCTTAAACCATATGATTCCCGTCATTTAAGAAACCTCTCCGCTAATTTATATTTACATTGTCTTCCGATGACTCACGTTCTGTTTTGTTTTGCAGGAAAACGAATGCATGCGGATAAAAATTTTGGGAGACTGTTATTATTGCGTTTCGGGCTTACCCGTGTCTTTGCCAGTGCATGCCAAGAACTGTGTGAAAATGGGCCTTGACATGTGTGAAGCTATCAAGTATGTACTTTTAAAAGAAATGTTGTCAAAGACAAGAAAATAAAATTTTCTAAGTTGTGAAGTTGATGCAGTTTGACATCACTTGCACTACCATGGCTCAATGCTATGGAACAGTCATAGACAAACTTGGCCCTCCAGGTGTTTTGGACTTCAACTCCCACAATTCCTAACAGCCTCAGGCACTTTCCTTTCCCCCCTCATATTTCCATAATGTTGAGTTAGTTAATATGGCATCAAACTGCATCAACTCTACAGAGGAGATGTACTCCTAAGTTTCAACTTGTGAACCACACATTATGAAAAATAATGTCATAACCGAATGGAAGTAAAATCCAATGATATGGTATTGAAGGCTTTCATGGCCAGAATCACCGGGTTGTTGTGTGTTTTCTGGGCTGTATGGCCATGTTCCAGAAGCATTCTCTCCTGACGTTTCGCCTGCATCTATGGCAGGCATCCTCAGAGGTTGTGAGGTCTTTTGGAAACTAGGAAAACTGTGTTTATATATCTGTGGAATGTCCATGATGGGAGAACAAACTTTTGTCTGTTTGAAGTAGGCGTAAATGTTGCAATTGGCCACTTTGATTAGCATTTATTGGTCTAGCAGTTTTCAAGGTCTGGCTTTTACTGCCTGGGGAAATCCTTTGTTGGGAGATGATTAGCTGGCCCTGATTGTTTCTTGTCTGGAATTCCCCAGTTTTTGAATGTTGTTCTTTATTTATTTATTTTATTTACAGCTTTTATATTCCGCCCTTCTCACCCCGCAGGGGACTCAGGGCGGATTACAGTGTACACATATATGGCAAACATTCAATGCCAATTTTTGACATACAAACATATACAGACATAGACAGAGGCTATTTAACTTTTTCTGGCCACCAGGGGAGCTGTCGCTTTCATCGTCCATCTGCGACGCTGATGAAGCACTTCCGCATTCCCCGCATGCTTCCCCGCTGGAATGCTTTGCTGGAGTCTTCTTTATGGCCTCATAAATCAGTTAATTTAGCCTCCCCACACTTTAAGGTGGTACCTTATTTTCCTACTTGACAGATGCAACTGTCTTTCGGGTTGCAAAGGTTGACAACAGGCTACACACAATTGGTTGGAAACCCACTCCAACCCGGGCTGGCTTCGAACTCATGACCTTTTTGGTCAGAGTGATCTTAATGCAGCTGACACTCAGCCAGCTGCGCCACAATCCCGGTTATTTACTGTTATAATTTTAAAGGTTTTAAATATTGTCGCCAGATTTTGTTCATTTTCTTGGTTTCTTCCTTTCTGATTAGTATTGCCATTACATGCTAATCAAGGTGGCCAAATGTAACATTCACATGTGACTCAAACAGACAAGAGTTCTTTCTCCATCCCTGGACATTCCACAGATATATAAACCCCATTTTCCTAGTTTCCAACAACCTCTGAGGATGCCTGCCATAGATAAAGGTGAAACATCAGGAGAGAATGCTTCTGGAACATGGCCAGACAGCCCAGAAAACACACAACAACCCAGAATCCAATGATATTGCTTCTGTGGCCAAATTGTACTTCTTTATATGTTTGGAGGTACAATTTGGCCACAGAAGCAATATCATTGGCCAAATTGTACTTCTTTATATGTTTGGACTCGATAAAATAGTGAAGAGTAGAGACATCAGACTGACAACAAAGATCCGCCTAGTCAAAGCCATGGTATTCCCTGTAGTCACCTACGGATGTGAGAGCTGGACCTTAGGGAAGGCTGAGCGAAGGAAGATCGATGCTTTTGAACTGTGGTGTTGGAGGAAAGTGCTGAGAGTGCCTTGGACTGCGAGAAGATCCAACCAGTCCATGCTCCAGGAAATAAAGCCCGACTGCTCACTGGAGGGAAGGATACTAGAGACCAAGTTGAAGTACTTTGGCCACATCATGAGGAGACAGGAAAGCCTAGAGAAGCCAATTATGCTGGGGAAAGTGGAAGGCAAAAGGAAGAGGGGCCGACCAAGGGCAAGATGGATGGATGGCATCCTTGAAGTGACTGGACTGACCTTGAAGGAGCTGGGGTGGTGACGGCCGACAGGGAGCTCTGGCGTGGGCTGGTCCATGAGGTCACGAAGAGTCGGAGACGACTGAACGAATGAACAACAATATGTTTGGAGCTATTCAGATTTGTGGGGGTTTTAATTTAGTAATAACCCATTTTATCTGATCTTTGCTGTAGTCCATGGATGCTAATGCAACACTCAGTGTGTTTACTCATCTGTCACAAATACTGTTATTGATGTAATGGATTAACAAAGCTACATATCTAGAATTCTGCACTGCCCACCAAAGAGAGTTTTTCTTTTGTCTTGAGTGTTAGGCCTGTTCCTGGGGTTATTTGGGTTGCTGACTAAGAAAATTGCATTGGATACACCACATCCACTCTAGTTTCTTAGAAATGGCTATTGTGGTTTTCTATGGGTGACTGCTAGATGGCATATGTTCTGTATCTCAAAAACTAGAGCTGATAGGAGAAAATTGGTGCCATTTTTGGAATCAGAAGATCAAATATACTCAGAAACAGGGCTAACATTTGAGACACCAAAATGTGTGTTGGTTAGTGCTAATACTATTCCCATGATGTGGCTAAAGTATGACAGTCTCCGTCATCTTGGCTTCTCCGGAGAGCTCAGGCTTTATTTGCTCAGGGACCCATTTATTGGTCTTTTAAATCATCCATTACAACTCCAGCAGCACATTTCAAATAAGTTGATTGAAAAATTAGGGAGAATTCAAACATCAGCATAGATTTTGTCATAGCGATGGAAGTCTAGGACTTCATCACACACAATAAAATTAGATTTTCTACACATTTAAGAAAGAGCCCATCACACAATGTGGGTTTCAGGAATTTCACCATTTCTAAAGTTGTTTTTTCTTCTTCTGATGAGTCTTAAGTCACTTGACAATCGACTTCATTTTTAATTCCCCGCAGCAGAGGTGGATAAAATTGTCAAATTTAATGTGTGATGGGAATTCTGCATTGCCTGCTTGTAAACATAACAATGACATTCTGGGGGGAGAATCCACGATAGGCAGTATAGATTCCGAAGGCTTTCATGGCCGGAATCACTGGGTTGTTGTAGGTTTTTCCAGGCTATATGGCCATGTTCTAGAGGCATTTTCTCCTGACGTTTCGCCTGCATCTATGGCAAGCATCCTCAGAGGTAGGCCAATAAATGGGTCCCTGAGCAAATCAAGCCTAAGCTCTCCTGAGAAGCCAAGATGACTGAGACTGTCGTACTTTAGCCACATCATGGGAATAGTATTAGCACTAACCAACACACATCCTCACTACCTCTGAGGATGCTTGCCATAGATGCAGGTGAAACGTCAGGAGAAAATGCCTCTAGAACATGGCCAATTGGCCCGGAAAAAACCTACAACAACCCAGTATAGATTCCTTTCTTTCGCCTTTCTTTTGGGACGGAGGAAGAAGGAATGATAATTTATATCTTGTTGTTACCGCTGCCTCCACCTTGGTAACTCCTCAACAGATGGCAGTACTCGTATGTGGCAGATACTGGCTTGTTCAGTAGACTCTCCTCTACAGTTCCATTTTGGTGGGAAGCCTTAGCATTGAACAGTTGTGTTGTTTAAGTGCGAAGTATGAAACCCTATGCAGACAGTCGGTCAATGCGACTTAAGCAACGTGCAGTCATTGAATTCTTGACAGTAGAAGGTGTCACCTCAACATCTTTAAGCTTACTCACCCAATGATGCAGAGTACTCATATCAACACAATCACCACAAACAGCTTGCATTCTCTGATGAATCTCCTTTGGGGTGACACCTTCTGCTGTCAAAAATTCAATGACTGCATGTTGCTTAAATCACATTAGTCGACCCCTTGCGCAGGGTTCCATACTTCACACTTTAACAACACAGCCGTTCAATGTTAAGTTCCCACCAAAATGGAACTGTAGAGGAGAGTCTACTGAACAAGCCAGTACCTGCCACATACCAGTACCGCCAGCTGTTGAGGAGTTACGAAGGTGGAGGCATTACTTTTTATTCAACCTTCATATAATAATATAGAATAGAAGAAATCTCGTTTAATGACCTTGCATTAAAAAGTATTTCATTGAGAACAAACATAGAGGATTTCCTCAAGAAAAAGAAAGTGGAAGGAAACTGTGGGAAGAGAATTATGTCTCCTATGTGATGGAAAGGCAAGTGGATAATTTAAAAAGAAAGCTGAAAAAAGAAAAACCCGTGATGGGGCTATGAAAACCATTTCTTCAGTTTCCAAATGGGGTTTCCCCAATGCTTTACTTATCGTGTGGGATGAAGTCCTTACTTAGATGTTCATTTATATCGCCTTCTGAATTGTTTTGCAGACAAGTGAGAGAAGCCACAGGTGTCGATATCAACATGCGAGTGGGCATTCATTCCGGGAATGTGCTCTGTGGTGTGATAGGGCTTCGGAAATGGCAGTACGACGTCTGGTCCCATGATGTCTCCTTGGCCAACCGCATGGAATCTGCGGGCGTTCCCGGGTAAGCTCGTTCACATTTTGTGCCAAGGTTTCCATTACATCACCGGGTGAGATCATCCACAACCTCCGTGTTTTGATTATGAATTATGAAAATATAGAAGCAAACTGTTGACTGGTATAAACTCTATCAGCACCTGAGTACTTCTGTTTCGTAGACCTGGTTCAGATGCCCATTGAGGTCCTGTCTTAGTCTTGTGCGCTTTCTCTCCCCTTGTTGTGTTTGGATTCTTGCTCTTTCTGGTTCATAATTGCCAATGCTATAAAAAGAAAAACAAATAACACAACGGCATCTTGAGAAGATGCATCCTATTTATTTATCCTGTCATCCGCAACCAGAACATTACAGAACATTACATTTCTAACAGAACGAAATAAGCATCTTGAAAAGCAAGTTCAAACCAAAGTATCCAATCAAAGTTTGAACCAATGGGCAGTAACTTATCTAATTTGGATATTACAACAGCTATGACAATGATGAACCAGAAAGAGCAAGATATAGAAAAAAAAAAGTTATGGAAAGTGACACCCAACAAACAAACAAACACACAAAAACATTGATTTTTTTCTTAACACATAAAACTACAAGACTAACAACTCGTCAACTACAACTAAACAGGACGTTACCTAAATCAATTGAGTGTAGAAGGGTGGATATATATATCGCCCAGCTTACCTGTCCGAACATATCTCCCTCTACATCCCACCTTGAAGTTTAAGATCTTCTAGGGAGGCCCTGATTTCAGCTCCGCCTTTGGCGCAAACACGCTTGGTGGGGACAAGGGACAGGGCCTTCTCGGTGGTGGCCCCCCGCCTGTGGAACTCGCTCCCCAATGAAATCAGGTCAACAAAATCCCTCCTCGCCTTCAGGAGGAAATTGAAAACATGGTTATGGGAGCAGGCCTTTGGGTAGCTGACAGATAATTGACAATGGTAATAATGATAATGTTATAGAAAATGGACTATGGACAGGCTTCCAATTGTGTTGTGCTCACTGAATTTGTTTCTACATAAGGCTAGACAGCCAGTATTATTGCACTTTTTAAAAATGGATTTTTATTAAATTTTACCATAAGAAAGTAAAGAGTGTAACATCGAAAGAGTGAGAACAATTTTTGGATAGGAAAGTTTGGAAAAAATGAGAAATTCAGAAAAAGAGCAATTAGAGGACAGAGATAAAGAAAAAAGAAGCAGAAAGAAGAAGGGGAAAAAAAGAAATAATATTGTAAATAGTTTGACTTCCATCTAATCTTTGGTGGTTGTGGAATTGAAGTAGTCAGCTTCCCGAGGGGGCCAAATGCGAAAATAGTCTAAGCATCCCTGTGGTTTTGAATCTACATGTCAGGGTTTGTTTAGTCATATTATTAAGTCTATCTTTGATTGCTTAAGATAGTTTTTAACCAGGTCCCAATTCGTTATTGCACTTTTTTTTGTTTTTATTAATTTTTCCATGCATATAAAATTTAGACTTCATAGGATACAGGGAAAGTGTGGGAACAATCGGTTATAAGACAGTAGGAAATGGGAAGACAAGAGGGGCAAAAGGGGGGAGGGAAGAAAAGCAGAAGAGAAGAAAGAGAGAAGAAAAAGAAAAGAAAAGGAAGAAGAAAAAGAAGAAGACGAGGCAAGACAGAAAGAAAGAAAGATGGGGGAGGGGACAGGGGAGATAAAAACAGTGAGGAGGTTGTGATGACTTCCAGGATGACTCCGGTTGTCTTGTCTCTTGTTTTGTCTTTATTACTCTTCCTATTGCCAGTTCATTTCTAGGTTCTCATTCTTAATGTACTCCGTGAATTTTTCCCAATTGGTTTTTGTATCTTTAAGTTATTATCCGCAATTTGTTGAGTGAGTAAGTCCATGCTCATTATGTCCCAGATCTTCAATAGCCAGTTCTCCATAGTTGGCAATTCCTTTGTTTCCCATAGCTGTGCAAATTTTAACCTGGCTGCTGTTATAAGGTATATGAATAGTTTATTTGTGTTTTGATCCATTTTGAAATCGGTTAAACCTAGAAGGAAATATTCTGGTTTAATACCAACATTTATTTGCAAGATCTGTTCCATTTTCTTGTGGATTTCCCTCCAAAAGTTTTTGGTTTTTTTTACATTTCCAACATACATGGATAAATGTGCCGACTTCTTTTTCACATTTCCAACATTTGTTACTTATTTTTCCTTTATTAATTTAATTGCACTTTTTATTAATGTACTTTTTATTTTAATACTAATTTTAAAATTAATTTACTGTGTTTTATATGTAATTCTGTATGAATTATTTATATGGAATGACATCAAATTGTGCCGGATGTAAGCCGCCCTGAGTCCCCCCCCTCCCCCGGAGGGGGGTTGAGAAGGGCGGGGTACAAATGTTTGAAAAAAATAAATAAAATAAATGAATGGCCACACATAAAATTATACAACAGAAATAGTTGCCCCCATCTGTGTTGTAGGAAAATACAAACGAATCCCAGGTTTCCCTGTCAATTTCTCCATCTCAGATAATTAACTCATCTTCATCAGCCATTCTTCTTGTATTGAGATAGCTAGTTCTTTCCATTTCTGCACATAGACAAATCTTGCTGTAGTAATCATGTATAGCAATAGTCTTGCTGTGTTATTTGTGAGCTGGAGCCCCCACTGGATCAATGGGGTAAACTCTTGTGCCGGCAGGACTGCTGACCAAAAGGTCGGCGGTTTGAATCCGGGGACTGAGTTGAGCTCCCATCTGTCTGCTTCAGCTTCTCATGCGGGGACATGAGAAAAGCCTCCCACAGGATGGTAAAACATCCAGGCATCCCCTGGGCAACGTCTTTGCAGACGGTCAATTCTCTCACACCAGAAGCGACTTGCAGTTTCTCAAGTTGTTCCTGACACGAAAAAAATTCTAATTTGGGTGAAAGTGTTGCAAGTAGAGTCTTTTGGATTGTGCACAGCTCTTCCAGGAATCAGAGCTGTTGTATTTAAAAACAAACAAATAAACAAACTTGGAATGGATATCGCACCATACCGTAGATTCCAACCGATCTATTTTGCTTGCTGTTTATGTTAGCAAAAGCCTTGCCAGCAAAATGAGTCGTGTGACCTTAAAACTGTAAAGACTTGGCGAGGACGTTTATTGTTAGTCATTTTTATGATTTGCCGGGATTGTTTGTTCCTTGCCAATAGATGAGCTTATTAGTGTTGGAAATGCAAGGATGATGGATGCATATACCGAGATTGTATTGTGTAACCATTGCTTACTTTCAGATTTCACAGAATGCTATAGTTTCCTAAACCTTGCTTTCGGTGGAATTAATGCCGTTTGACACCACTTAATGCTATGCAGTCATGGGATTTGTCGTTCTTTGAGGCACCAGCACTCTTTGGAAGAGAAAACTAAAGAACGTGTAAAACTCACCTAGTTTCACTATACATCTCTATATCTTCATATCTTAAATTTCTTAGACAAATTACATTTACTTAAGACATTTTTCTTGGATTTCAAAAAAGGGCTGCAGGTTCCTTTTGTGCTTCTAAAGAGCTTTTTGAACCTGATATTAGATAAATACTCTTCTTTGATTCTGAAAGTTAGCTTCCTTGTAGATATGTAGTACATAAGTCATGCAAACTAATTGGCCAGATGTTAGTTTAATAGCTAATTAATAACTTTGTATAACTATGTTATAAATCAATGGTTCTCAACTTTCCTAATGCCCCAACCTCTTAATACAGTTAATGTTGCAGTGACCCCCCCAACCATAAAATTATTTTCACTGCTACTTCATAACTGTAATTTTGCTACTGTTATGAATCACAATGTAAATGTCTGATATGCAGGATGTATTTTCAATCTCTGGACCAAATTGGGCACAAATATCTGATATGCCCAAATTTGAATACTGGTGGTGTTGGGGGATTGATTTTGTCATTTAGTTCACCTACAACCAAAGAGGATTCTGAAACTCACCAATGATAGAATTGAACCAAACTTGGCAAACAGAACTCCCATGAACAACACAAAATACTGGAAGGATTTTGGCGGGCATTGACCTTGAGTTTTTGGAGTTGTAGTTCACCTGCATCCAGAGAGCACTGTGGACTCAAACAATGATGGATGTGGACCAAACTTGGCATGAATACTCAATATGCTCAAATGTGGGCATTGGTAGATTTTGGTGAAAATAGACCTTGACATTTGGGAGTTTGACTGTGTGGATCATAATAAATTGCGGCAAGTTCTCTGCTACCAAATCACCTTGTCTCTCTCCTGAGGAATCTGTATAAGGACCATGTAGGCAACAGTAAGAACTGACCATGGAACAACAGACTGGTTCAAGATTGGGAAAGGCGTATGGCAGGGTTGTATCCTCTCACCCAACCTATTCAACTTGTATGCAGAACACATCATGCGATATGCGGGGCTTGAGGAATGCAAGTCTGGGGTGAAAATTGCTAGAAGAAACATTAACAACCTTAGATATGCAGATGACACCACTTTGATGGCCGAAAGCGAGGAGGAAAGCGCAAAAGCTGGGTTGCAGTTAAATATCAAAAAACCCAAGATTATGGCAACAAGAATGATTGACAATTGGGAAATAGGGGGAGAAAATGTGGAGGCCACTACAGACTTTGTATTTCTAGGTGCAAAAATTACTGTAGACGCAGACTGCAGCAAGGAAATCAGAAGACGTCTACCTCTTGGGAGGAGAGCAATGACCAATCTTGATAAAATAGTGAGGAATAGAGACATCACACTGGCAACGAAGATCCGCATAGTCAAAGCAATGGTATTCCCTGTAGTCACCTACGGATGTGAGAGCTGGACCTTAGGGAAGACTGAGCGAAGGAAGGGAGATGCTTTTGAACTGTGGTGTTGGAGGAAAGTTCTGAGAGTGCCTTAGACTGCGAGAAGATCCAACCAATCCATACTTCAGGAAATAAAGCGTGACTGCTCACTGGAGGATATTAGAGGCCAAGATGAAGTACTTTGGCCACATAATGAGAAGAAAGGGAAGCTTAGAGAAGA